CCATCCAGACTTCTGTTTGACAATTGGCACCACACAAATACCACACATCTCCAATAAGACAATCTAATCACTACCCCTTGACAGTCAATGGTATTACCATCACTGAATCCCCCACAATCAAAATCCTGGGGGTTGCCACTGATAGAAACTCAACTGATCTCTCCACATAAACACAGTGATGATAAGAGCAGGTCAGAGACTAGGAATCCTGCAATGAGTAACTCACCGCCTGACTCCCCAAAATCTGTAAACCATCTACAAGACACAAGTCAGCAGTGTGGTGGAATATTTCCCTACTTGCCTCGATGAATGCAGCTTCAACAACAGAAGCAAGACAATATTCAAGACTAAGCAGCCCACTTGATTGACACTTCATCCACAGGCATCCTCTTGATAAACTAACAATACTCAGTGGCTGCAATGTGTACTATCTACAAGATGCATTGCAGAAATTTACCAAAGATCCTCAGACAGCACCTTCCAAATCCACAACTACTTCCATCTCGAAGACAAGGGCAGCAGATACTAGAGAACCGCAGTTCCCCTTCAAGCCACTCACCATCCTGATGTGGAACATATCACCATTCCTTCACTACCACTGGGTCAAAATCCAGAAACTCCCTATTTACCTAAGGCACACAGACTGCAGCACATCAAGAAGGCAGGTCACCACCATCTTCTCATGGCAACTAGGAACAGACAATTAATGCTGGTGCACCGAGTGATAATAATGTTCCACAAGAGAATCAAAAAACAACACAGCACAGACATATGAACATCAGATTGTGAGAAATACAATCTGGAGTTGGCTATTCTATCCTTCAAGCCTGTATTATCTTTCAACATGGCAATGAGTGATCTATTTCCTTAACTCGATATTCCCAAACTACTGTTGTATCTCCCAGTAAACTTGGCAGCAAAATATCGAGCGCTCTCGAATACAGTCAATGCCTCAGCTTTCACGGATGTCTGGGGTGAAAGAATTTCAAATGTTCAACATCTATTGAACGAATAAATTGCTCACATCTTAGTCTTAAATGGCTGACTATATGAGAGCTATCCCCTCCCACCATATACATTAGCAGGAGATTATACTGCTGTAGGTTGAAATGTAATTGAACATCTCGTTGAAGTGACTGGGTGAAATGAACAGGCAGAAGAGTCCATTGTCAGAATCATAATGCCATTTTTCACTTGTTAAGCAGCAAAAAAAAATCTTCAAGTTTTGAACACACTGATGGTGTCTGACAAAGGACATTGAAAGACACAGTGAAAGGCACAGAGGGAGGCAATGGCCTTGTGGCATTATCACTGGACTGTTAATCTAGAAACCCAGCTAATGTTTTGGGCACCCCGGGTTCAAATCACACCATGGCTTAAGGTGGAATTTTTTTTTCAATTAAAAAAATGGGCATTAGGAATCAAATGACGACTGTGAATCTATTGTGGATTTTTGGGGGAAAAAACCCATCTGCTTCACCAATGCCATTTAGGGAAGAAAACTGCTATCCTTACTGAGTCTGGCCTACATGTGATTCCAGACCCACAGCAGTGTGGCTGACTCTTAACTGCCTTCTGCAATGGACATTAAAATGCTGGCCTCACTCTAAGAATTAAATTAAAAGAGAAAGAAAGAAGCATTTCTCAAAAGAGAATGGAAAATAGCAGAGTGAGAATGCTGCATAAAAACAGGAACAGGAGATGAGGGAATGTAGGAGAGAGGTAGAATGATAACAGAAGCAGTAAGAAATGATAGTAAGGAAGTGAGGAGCCTGGAGAGAAAGAGATGTCCACACACAGAAACAGTGAAAGATAAAGAGGATAGAGACAATCAGAAAGACATCAATAATGGATGCACAGAGATGAGGGACCTGACTCTAAGGGGTTTGCTCTCTTCTGGGATACAGAAAGCCCTCACCGTTTAACCTGCTCAAGGGACGGGTAAACAGGTTTGCCCATGCAATGGATCACCTGCATTTAACTCTATTAGCTTCAGCGCCAACATCCTCATTCTGTAACCTGGCGAGAGCTACATTACTCGAGACAGCAGTGAGCTCAAAGGAAATACTCTCAGCACATCAATATTTGTTTATTAATTATGCAAATGTTTCAGATGACTCTCAGCAGATCACCATTTATTTGTGAATTATTCAAATAAGATGACTTCAGAATCTGAAATGTGCCAAATCAGAGACAGAGTTAACCATTACAGTAAGAAAACACAAGGCTCAGGAGATGAACAGAGTCACTCACTGTCTTCTTAAATAGGGTTAAGTGTTATCATTTGAGTGAGGAAATATCTTCTCATCTTCATAAATGACTGAACTTATTGATTTGTTATTCATTCATAGGGTGCAGACATCTCTGGTTGGGTCAACACTTGATGCCCATCTCTAATTGCCCTGGAGGAGATGGTATGAGTTACCCACTTGAACACTGTGTGTGTATTTGATTTTGAGACAGAATGTGTGTAGATATAAGCACAAGAGTGAGGGTGTGGTGTCTTTGGACATGAGAGAGTGTGTATATATGAGTGCGATACAGAGATTGGGTGAATGCACGTGTGTGAGGGAGGGTGTGTGCTTGAGAGTGTGCGTGCACCAATGGATGACCATGTGTATAGGCAACTGTGAGAGTATTTGTGAGAGTGTTTGTATAGGAAGTAGAGAAAGCGTGCGTATGAAAGCTTGTGTGTATGAATGTGAGTGCAAAAGATAGACACAGCATGAGTATCTGAGTGAGTAGGTGTGCATGTCAGTGTGTGAAAGACTCAGTGTATGGGTGAAAGTGAATATGAATGAGTCAGTGAGTGTGTGTGAGTGAGTGAGTGATCCACCATGGATGTTCAGAGGATTAGATGATGGAGAGTATTACCATGCGGTCTGTGAGAAGTCATCATCAACAAAGTTCCCATCAGAAGAACGAGTTTCTTCCACTATCGGCCCAAAGTGAGGGTAAAGAAGTAGGGCATGGTGTAAAAAGGAAAGGGGGAGCTAAACAGGACGGGGGACTACGTTGTGGATTGAGGATCTATTGAGTTGACTTTCCCCCTGTAAAACTGCCAGTGGTTTCAACTAATACAAATCACCAAAACTGATTTTCACAATAAGTCATTGCCTCCAGAAATTTCTCCGTTCTTCAGAAGAGTCATGGTGAAGTGACCCTTTCTTGTGTCCAACTCTCACAGAACAACAGTTGGCAAAACTAACAGGAAGTGAACAGCATTCCCCATTCTCCCCACCCCGCCACAAGGATGAGGGTATAGGTAGTACCCAAGTTGACAAGATATGAACAGTATTGCACACAACAGGAGGTGAAGGCAGTGCAAAAGCTGACAGAATGTAAACCACATTCCCTGGAGCAGGAGGGTGCAAGCAGTGCAAAAGCTGACAGAATGTGAACAAGATAGTAGGAACTGCAGATGCTGGAGAACCCCAGATAACAAGGTGTAGAGCTGGATGAACACAGCAGGCCAAGCAGCATCAGAGGAGCAGGAAGGTTGACGTTTCGGGCCTAAGATTTTTCTGAAGAAGGGTCTAGGCCCAAAACGTCAACCTTCCTGCTCCTCTGATGCTGCTTGGCCTGCTGTGTTCATCCAGCTCTACACCTTATTATCTTAGAATGTGAACAATGTTTCCCATTGCAGGAGGGTACAAGGCAGTGCACAGGCTGACACGATTTGAGCCAGATTCTCCAGAGCGTGCCAAAGCTGACATGATTCAAACAACATTTCCCACAGCTGAATCTGACAGGTTGTGAACAACATTCTCTCCATCTGGCGGGTATAGGCAGTGCCCAAAGCTGACAGCATACGAGCAGCATTCTCCAGAGCAGGAGGGTAAAGGCAGTGCTGAATCTGACATTCTCCTGAGGAGAAGGGCAGTGCTAAAGCTACAGGGAGTTCGCAACACAGTAACACTGCCCCAGTCGGACAGTTCAGACAGAAGCAATGGGGAAAGTGTGAGCTTAAGCCTCAGGCCAAAGACCCGAGTTCAAGGGGAAATTGCAAAGAGATGATCCCAATAGAGTTACAGGACAGACTGATGGCCTTTTAGGGTGAAGAGGAAAGCACGGACGCTATGAATCATAGTAAAGAAAAACTCGCTCCTGTGGGACAAGGTGAGGAGTTGCAATGCCTCGACAGCACTGTGCAAACATTCACCAATTCCTGCAATATTGACATTGCAATAACCACTTACATTCATATGGCACCTGTAAGGTAGTAAGATGTCCCAGGTAGTTAACTGGAACATTATGAAACAAAAACACTGACAACAATGTTTGGGGCGGCACAGTGGTTTGCACTGCTGCCTCACAGTGCCAGGGACCCGGGTTCGATTCCACTTTCAGGTGACTGTCTGTGTGGAGTTTGCACATTCTCCCCATGTCTGTGTGGGTTTCCTCCGGGTGCTCCGGTTTCCTCCCACAGTCCAAAGATGTGCAGGCTAAGTGGATTAGCCATGCTAAATTGCCTGTAATGTTCAGGGATGCCTAGATTAAGCAGATGGTTCTGGGTGGGATGCTCTGAGGGTTGGTGTGGCCTTATTGGGCCGAAGAGTCTGTTTCCACACTGTAGGGATTCGATTCAAAATCACATAAGGAGATATTAGGTTAGATGACTAAAAATGCACCAGTTAATGAAGACTAACAGTTAACTGACATACTTTATTGAATTTAAACCAGGCATTCTGATTCTAATATGTCAAGAAATTGACAACAGCGTTTGTGTCACCAATTTTGTTGCATTGAAACAGGTCTACAGTCTGTGTGCACACTCCTGTTCTGCAAAGGACAGGGTCCTATGTGTGAATGCATGCAACTGTACATGTAAGAATATGCACATTCACTGCTACTGTGTTAGGCCTCACTGGGATACTCTGCTGGAAATCAAGCTGTGCTATTGTTGGAGTCATCCCAGATGTTAAATATTTGAAAAGGTATACAGGATTCCCTAAGGTACTTATCTTTTAAATCCAGGTTGACAGAAAGCACAAACCAGGTTTCTGTATGTAACAAGAATTACAATTTATTACAAATAAATACATTCTATCTACAGATACTGCATTATGAACTGTCAACATATAACCAGTATTGTTAAAACTCTAATCCCTTCTCCCCCATAGATTCCTCCTACACATGCAGACAAAAAAAACAGCTTCATAGGTAGAGGTAAAGACTGCAAAAGCAGTTCAATGGCCCCTATTCCCAGGGTTCGCTGTGTTGATCCTCTTGGTTTGTTAGGAGACTGGTCCTTGAGCTACATTCTCCAGGTTCTTTCAGTCACTTGCAGGAAGGATGTGGCAGCTGGCTCACAACTTGAAAAACCGCTGACTTACTTAAAACTACAGCTTGCAGCAACTGACAAGAGAAAAATGAACTAGTTCTTTTACCTGGCTTGAGATGGTTTTTCCTACAAAGTAAAAGACGCAGTCTCTTTCTTTTCCAGAGATCCAATTGCTTTCCCCAAAATGCTCACACCTATAACCTGTTCGGCTACTTGGGAGCCAATCACATTGCTTTTGTAGACAGAAGGCCATTGCTAGGGACTAGCCCACAGACCAATCAGTTACTTGTTGCTGGCCAAATCTCCATTTGCACACACCCCTGGCTCCAGCTTATTTGTAACTGGAAGAGCAAACAGTTGAGTCAACGGCATTTACGATTTGACAGTCAAGTTACTCGCCCTTAAAAAGTGCAGTATCACTTCCATAATCCTAGGATTTTAAACCAATCCTTTTCCCATCTCAGTAAACAATCAAAAATACAGAAAAAGAAAAATATAAAGTCTTCACATTTGTTTCACTACCACTGTAGGTTAGTGAGCATACGGGACAGTCAACAGAATTTGTTGTGATACAGGGACATGAGCAGAATCTTGCGTGACTTCTGAATTTATAGAATGTAGGAATAGCAAGTTTAGATACAAAGACATGAAGGAGGGTTCCAGCAGACCAGCGTAAGTTATAATGGAATTCAGCAATATTACAGAGGAAAGCATGTCTCAGAGTCCAATAGGACAGGAATTCTTCGCCTCAGATAGTTGCAAGGGACAGAGGTGGAGTCAGTAGAGAATGGAGTTTGTGGCAGAGGCCTCAAAGTTCGGAAAACCAAATAAAAATACTGGAATGCATGTTCATAACCCAAGGACCATCTGTGTCATATCTCCAATTCTGCAGATCAATCCCCTATCCCCGGTGTGCCCCTGTCCTCCCACCCTCACTGTTAACCTTTATATCATTCCCATAAAGTCATTCAGCACAGAAACAAGCCCTTCAGTCCATCTAATCTGCACTGACCAGATATCCTAAATTGTGACCTAGTACAATTTGCCAGCATCTGACCCATATTCCTCTAAACCCTTCCTATTCATGTACCCATCCAGATGCCTTTTAAATGTTGTAATTGTACCAAGTTCCACCACTTCCTCTGGCAGCTTATTCTACACGCACCACTCTCTGCATGAAAAAGTTGCCCACTGGTCCTTTTTAAATCTTTCCCCTCTCACCTTAAACCTATGCCCTCTCTGGTTGTGGACTCCCCCATCCTAGGAAAGATACCTTGACTATTCATCCTATCCTGTCATGATTTTATAAACCTTTAACTGTTCACCCTCAGCCTCCAACACTCCAGGGACAAAATCTCCAGCCTATTCAGCCTCTCCCTTTCGCTTAAACCCTCCAGTCCCAGCAACATCTTTGTAAATATTTTCTGATAACTTTCAGGTTTAACATCCTTCCTATAGAAAGGTGACCAGAACTGTACGCTGTATTCTACAAGTGGCCTCACCGTTGTCCTGAACAGCTGTAATATAACATCCCAACTCCTAAAAAATGGAAAAATTGATGAAAACTCAGAAACAATACAAACTGATAGCTGAGGAAGGGTTAACCTCAAAGTAGGTTTACATGGTAAGCCATGTGTTCTCAATTGTTGCAACGAAAGGATCACAACCTCCTCCAGAAGTGGGCAAAGACATAGCAATGGATGCAGAAGTGGGGTAGATGCTGTTTGCAATAAACTTCTAACAGGACCAGACATAGTAAACACAGGGACGATGTTCTCTATGACTGGGGAGTCCAGAACCAGGGCTCACGGACTAAGGATATGGGATGGGCCATTTAGGATTGAGATAAGGAGAAATCTCTTCACCCAAAAAGTGGTGAGTCTGTGGAGTTTTCTGCCACAGAAAGTGGCAGAGGCCAAAACATTGAATGTTTTCAAGAAGGAGTTAGATATAGTTTTTGGGCCTAAAGGGATCAAATGGCATTGGGAGAAAATAGGAACAGAGTACTAGGTTGGATGATCAACCATGATCATTTGAATGGGGAAGTTGGCCCGAAGGGCTGAATGGCCTATTCCTGTTCAGTGTTTTTTTAAGTAAAGCTGGTGTCATTTTCATCTGCCTGAGTAATCATTAAACAACGTTAACATTTGACAAATTTAGTGATCGCTGTATCCAGGCAGATTTCAGCAACGGGCCAAAAAATTGATTGTTAGAGACATTTAAACCTAAAGCTCTTTCAGACGTAAGAAGGCAAAGGTGGTGAATCAACAAGGTTAGAAAATTGTAACAATTTTAGTGAGAGGAAGGGCATCAAAGACGGTGTGGAAGGCACCACTTAGTAAATTAGCAGCTGGATGAATCGAGATCGATGGCTAGATAGTTGGAAATTCCAGGGTGCAGAGGATATTTCGGGGAGAAACCTAGTGTAATACTCAGTTGGTGGAGGAGAGGAGGAGGCTGGACCGACCAAGAATTTTAAAGGCAAATGTAGGACTAGGTGGGCAGTCTAAGCAACAATTTACACACAAGTGCTGAACCACCAGCAACAGCACCACCATGATTTGAGGAAGCAAACACGGACATGTGATTAAAGAGAAAGAGTCTCAGTCCTCAAACATGTCCTTCGATCAAGGCCATAACTCAAATGGGAGCATCCTTAACAGCATCAGGAACGGCAAAGCTCTCATTTACAAGTGACAGTACATTCGGAGGAGGGTGGGGTGTAAGCAGGGACTGTCAGATGTTTTAAGACGGAGTAAATCCTGGGACAGTGGCAGGAAAATAGAAATGATGTGAAAAAGGCATTTTGATATGCTTTCCTTTGTTGGTCAGTGCATGGAGTATAGGAATTCAGAGATCATGTGGCAGCTGCACAGGACATTGGTTTGGCCACTTTTGGAATACTGTACAATTCTGGTCTCCCTGCTGTAAGAAGGATGTTATGAAACTTGAAAGGGTTCAGAAAAGATTTACAAAGACGGTGCCAGACGTTGGAGGGTTTGAACTATAGAAGAGGCTGAATAGATTGGGGCTATTTTTCTTGGAGTGTCGGAGGCCAACGGGTGGTCTTATAGGATAAAATCAAGGTCTTTCCTCCGGGGTGGGGGTTGCAAAACTAGAGGGCATAGGTTTAAGGTACCGGGGAAGCGGTGGAGGTTGGTACAATTACAGCATTTTAAAGGCATCTGGATGGGTATATGAACAGGAAAAGTTTAGAGGGATACGAGCCAAATGCTGGCAAATGGGACTAGATTTATTTAGGCTATCTGGTCAGCATGAACGAGTTGGACCAAAAGATCCGTCTCCATGCTGTACATCTCCATGACTCTATGATTGTAAATTCGGGCTATCAGGATTGTTAGGCACAGAAAGGGGAACTAGAGAACGTGAAATGGGCTTGAATCTCGAGAGATAGGAAAACACACGCGTGAACCAATCAGGGAATATTTAGTGAACCAGACAGTAATAATAAGTTTCTATCTAAGTGCTAGGATTATGGGGAGAGATATAGGAGGGCAAGACATTGGGAATTCCAACAGTTTAAATGCTTCCTAAGAAAGAATATTGAATGAACAGTTGTTGAGCACTCAGTATCCACACAAAGATATGTCAGTAGAACCTGCTTGGATAATCCTCTGGAAATCCGAGATGCTACTTTAGGGTTGAGGTGGGGGTGTGGGGGGTAAGCTTAAATTTTGTTTCTGAAAATGGGAAATCTGGATGGATGTCTGAGATAGAATAGGAGGTAGGGCTATTGTGGAGAGTTGTGGAGTGATCACAGACTCGCTCATGCTGACAACTGAAACACAGATATCCCATTTGCTACAAATTATGACCCTTCATCGAGGTGCATGGCATCAAAGGATGGCTGATCAGTTTTTCACATGAAAAGTGGTCAATGCCCCATCTGCCCATGATCTTAAATGCTAGCTTCCCTCTCCAACAGTACTAATCTTGGTGTCCAAACTTAATCATGAGAAGCGATGGGGCAGGAGACTCTGGGATTGAGAACCGACTGACCCTGTGATTCACCACCACTGTTTCATAAAGACTGGGGAAAGGAAGAGGACCAGAGTCAAAACATCAAAGCAGCTCCCTGTGTTGGCAGAAAATGCACAGACTGCGAGGCAGAGTTTAATCCAGTACGTTCGACGCTGTGTCCCCGGCGTGCTTCATTTGATGCTGCAGCAAGTACCTGAAACTTTTAAACCGCTTCTTGCAGACACTGCATTTGAATGCCTTCTCCCCTGTGTGGATCTGCTGATGCTGTGTTAGGTTACTGGATGTATAAAACCTCTTGTCACACAGTGAGCATTTGAATGGTTTCTCCCCGGTATGGATTTTCACGTGCTTGTTCAGATTGCTCGACGTGTGAAACCTTTTACCACACACGGTGCACTCGAACTTTTTCTCTCCCGTATGGGTGCGCTGGTGCTCAATGAGGTAGCCTGATCGGTAAAAGCGCTTCCGGCAAACCGTGCACTCGAACGGCTTCTCACCGGTGTGAATTTTCTGGTGCTGTGTCAGGAGGCTGGAGGTGTAGAATCGCTTTGCACACACATTGCACTCAAAGGGCCTCTCAGCGGCGTGGACCTGCCGGTGCTGGACGAGGTTGCTGGACGTGTGGAAGCACTTGCCGCACACTCCACAGCCGAATGGCTTCTCCCCCGTGTGAATGCGTCTGTGCTTGCTCAGGTCACAGGAGCGGGAGAAGCTCTTGCTGCAGACTGCGCACTTGTGCGGCTTCTCACCAGTATGGACTTTGTGATGCTGCACCAGGTTGCTGGATGTGTGGAAGCGCTTTGTGCACACCGAGCACTCAAAAGGTTTCTCACCTGTGTGAAATCGCTGGTGCTTGGTGACCTCGCTGGATGTGTAGAAACGCATCTGGCACACGGCACACTCGAAGGGCTTGTCTCCAGTATGAATGCGGAGGTGTGTGTCCAGTAGGCTGGGCCAGCGGAAACCCTTTCCACACACTTTGCAGCACAGGACCTCCAGCCCCCCATGTCCAGGTGTCAACGGTCTGAGTCTAATCTGCTGCTGAAGTTGCTGCCCATTGTTCTTGAGGATTTGCCTTTCATCCTGAACTTCCATGTTGATCCTTCAATCCAAAGTGCACATGTACACACCGTGTCTAATCAGAGAAGAAGAAAAGGAGTGATCAAACTCCTGGCTGTTTGTGGACATCAGAGTAAAGGTTAATCAGTGAACAAGAGCTACAGGAATCACAGGAAACACTGCGACAGGCCCAGTAATCACCCTAGTCATAAACATCTCTCTATTAAACTGCTTATTTACTGTTTTACAGAGCAAACTCCTCTTGGTGCAGGGTCCCATGAATCAATACCTCTAAATATCCCATGGATCACCAACTCTGTAAAGATGCTGAGAATTGTCATCTTTTTGTAAAGATCTTGTGAATCACTGTCTCTGCACAGCACAGATTCTGTGACCCTGTCAGCACAGGTGGCTCAGTGGTTAGCACTGCTGCTTCACAGTGCCAGGGACTCCGGTTTGATTCTAGACTTAGGTGATAGCCTGTGTGGAGTTTGCACATTCTCCCCGTGTCGGTGTGGGTTTTGCCAGGTGTTTGAGTTTTCTCCCGGAGACCAAAGATGTACAGGTTAGGTGGACTGGCTGTGCTAAATTGCCCTGGTGTGTCCAGGGATTTGTAGGCTAGGTGGACATTCCATGGGAAATGCAGAGTTAGGGGGTAGGGTGGGGGACTTGGTCAGGATAGGATGTTCTTCTGAGGGTCAGTGCAGATTTGATGGGCTAAATATCCTCTTTCCACACTGTGGGGGTTTTATGATTCTCTGCTGGTGTGCAGGAGACAGCCTGTGAATCACTGTCGCCATGTGGTACGGATCTGGAGAATCATTGCCTCCGTATGCACAAACAAGCAGTAGTAGGAGGCCATTTGACTCCTCGAACCTGCTTTGCCATTCAATCAGGTCATGGCTGTCTGATTGGAACCTCAAATACACATTCCCACCTGCAACATTTCACACACTTTCTCCCACTCCCTTACCATCAATCTATTCAAGGATTCAGCTTGCACCACCTTTACAGGAAGAGAATTTGAAAGACTTGTGACATCATCTTGATAAGTACAAGCTGATGCACTTTGGAAAGAAAAACAAGATGAAGGAGTACCTAATGAATGGCAGGACACTGGATAGCTTAGAGGAACAGTCGTGGAAATAGAGTATAAGAGCAAGGAGGTAATGTTGGAGTTGTACAGAGCATAGGTCAGGCCATAATTGGAGTACTGAGAGTTTTCTGGTCAGCTCATTACAGGAAGAATGCAACAGCACTAGAGAGGTTACAGAGGAGGTTCCTTTTTTTTAATTCATTCGCAGGTTGAGGGCGTTGCTTACTGGGCAGCATTCATTGCCCAGCCCCAATTGCCCAGAGGGCAGTTAAGAGTCAATCACATTGCTGTGAGCCTGTAGGCCAGACCAGGTAAAGATGGCAGTTTCCTTCCCTAAAGGTCATCATTAGACTCTTATTTATTTATGATTTATTATTGCCATTATATGTTACGGGATTTGAACCCAGGTCTAGGTCTCTGAATTAACAGTCCAACGATAATACCACTAGGCCATCACCTCCCCCTCAGGAATGTTGCCTGGGATGGAGAAACTGAGCAATAAGGAGACACTAGAAAGACTTGGATTGTTTTTTTAAAGAGTGGAGAAAACTGAGGGGGTACATATTTGAGGTGTATAGGATTATGAGGGGTACAGAGAGCAGCTGTTGGTTGAAGGGTCAATCGTGAGAGGGCAAAGGTTTAGGGTAAATTATAGAATCCCTACAGTGTGGAAACAGGCCATTTGGCCCAACAAGTTCACAACAACTCTCCAAAGAGCATCCCACCCAGACTCATCTCCCCACTCTGTCACTGCAGTTCCCATGGCTAATCCACCTAACCTACGCATCTCTGGACACTATGGCAAATTTAGCATGGCCAATCCACCTAATCTGCACATCTTTGGAGTGTGGGAAGAAGCTGGAGCACATGGAGGAAAACGACGCAGACATGGGGAGGATGTGCAAACTCCATACACAGTCACCCGAGGCTGGAACTGTACCCGAGTCCTGGCGCTGCGAGGCAGCAGTGCTAATCACTGAGGCACCATGTCACCATTTTTTTTTAAAAAAACATTCTACACCCTGCCCCCACCCTTAACCTACATTTCCCACAGCTAATCCATCTAACCTGCACATCCCTGGGTACTATGGGCAATTTAACATGGCTAATCCATCTAACCTGCACATCCCTGGACACTATGGGCAATTTAACATGGCTAATCCATCTAATCTGTACATCTTTGTACTGTGGGAACAACTAGAGGAAACCTATACAGGCACGGAGAGAATGTGCAAACTCCACACAGACAGTCACCCAAGGGTGGAATCGAACTCAGGACCCCTGCCACGTGAAGCAGCAGGGCTAACCACTGTGCCAATATCATGCTCAACCGCTGTACCACTATGCTGCCTGGTAAGGGACAGGAGATTCAGATGGATTTGGGAGAAAACATTTTCATTCAGCAAGTGATGGGTATCTGGAATAAACTGCCTGGGAAGGTAGTGGAGCCGGAAACCTTACAACCTTTAAAAAAAGTTTGGATGAGTACTTCAAATATCATAACATTCAAGGATATCGAACAAGTGTAGGAAATTGGGATTAGCACACTTTTAGTGGTACTTATGTCAGTGCAGACTTGATGAGATGAAGGGCCTTTTCAGCACTATACGAACATATGACAGTCGAGAGAAAATGTCTCACCTCTGTTTTAAATGACCCCTTATTTTCAAACAGTAATTCCTAGTACTAGATTCTCCCACAAGAGAAAAGATCCTCTCTGCATTTACCCTGCCAAGACCCTTTAGAATTTCATCCATTTTAACCAAGTCACCTTGTGAAAACAACTGGGTTCTTGTGAGATAACACAGTGTGGAGCTGGAAGAACACAGCAGGCCAGCAACATCTGAAGATTTTCTGAAGAAGGGTCCCGACCGGAACATCAACTTTCCTGCTCCTCTGATGCTGCGTGGCCTGCTGTGTTCTTCCAGCTCCATACTGTGCTATCTCCGACTCCAGCATCGGCAGTTCTTGCTATCTCTGGATTGTGAGGGTGATTTTAGCCGTGGGGTGGCACAGTGGCTCAGTGGTTAACGCTGCTGCCTCACAGTGCCAAGGATTCCAGTTCAATTCCGGCCTCGGGTGAGCATCTGTGTGGAGGTTGCACGTTCTCCCCATGTCTGTGTAGGCTTCTGCTGGGTGCTCCAGTTTCCTCCCACAGTCTAAAGATGTGCACGTAAGGTGAATTGGCCCTGCTAAATTACCCAAAGCATTCAGAGGTGTGTAGGTTAGGCTCTGTGAAATGCAGGATTACAGGGGTACAGGGATGCTCTTCGGAGGATTGGTGCAGACTTGTTAGATCAAATGGCCTGTTTCCACACTGTAGGAATTCTATGGATTCTATAGCTCCCCTATATTGACTGGGACTGGCTTAGTGCCAGGGGCTTGGATGGGGAAGAAATTAAGTATGGGTGGTTTTTTGAAACAATATGTAAATAGTCAGGAAGGGACCCAGTATTGGGGAATGAGCCCAGCCAGGTGATCCAAGTTTCTGAAAGAGTGACCATAATTTGGTAAACTTTAAGTTACTTGTGCATAAGGATAAGAGTAGTCCTTGGGTGAAAGTACTAAGCTGCAGGAAGACTAACTACCATAATATTAGGCAGAAACTGGGGAAAGTTGACTGAGGGCGAGTGTTTGAGGGTAAATCTACATCTGGCATGTGGTATTCTTTTAAAGGTGAGTTGATTTGAGTTCAGGACCAGCATGTTCCTATGAAACTGAAGGATAAGGATGGCAAGATTCAGGAATCTTGGATGACAAGAGAAACTGAAAGCTCAGTTAAAAAAGATAAATGAGACATGCATCAGGTTCAGGAAACTGAAGATTGACAAAGCCCTCAAAGAATACAAAGATAGCAGGAAAGAACTCAAGCAAGGAATTAAGAGGGCTAAAAGGGACCATGAAATGTCTTTGGCAAAGAGGATTAAGGAAAAATATCAAGGCATTTTATATATATTTAATTAGTAAGCAGGTAGCTAGGGAAAGGGCAGGCCCATTCAAGATCAAAGGAGAGAATTTATGCATGGAGCCAGAGAAAGAGGGTAAAGTCCTTAACGAATACTTGGCATCGGAACAAAGGAAAAGGACATTATGGATGGTGAGTCTGGTGAGGTGTATGTTGATATTTTGGGTCATGTCAATATAAAAATGGAGGTGGTGTTGGGTGTCTTGAAAAGCACTAAGATAGCCAAGTCCCCAGGACCTGATGGGACCTATCCTAGAATGCTGAGGGAGACGTGGGAAAATTACTGGGGCCTTGTACGAAATCTTTGTATCCTCTTTAGTCACAGGAGAGGTCCCAGCGGACTGGCATACAGCCAATGTTGTTCTTTTGTTTAAGAAAGGTAACATAACCTGGGAAATTACACAACTGTGACAGGGATTACATCAGTGGGAGAGAAACTTGGAGAAGATTCTTAGGTTAGGATTTACTCACATTTGTAAACATATGGACTTATTAGCTACAATTCCGGAACCTGTTGAAGTATACCCCAGGATAGTCAGCATGGTTTTGTACCAGGAAAATCATGTCTCACAAACTTGACTAAGGAAGTTACCAAAAAGATTGCTGAGGGCAGAGCAGTAGATGTTGTTTGCTTGGATTTTAGTAAAGCCTTCGACAAGGTTTAGCATGGTAGACTAACTAGTCAAGTTAGGTCACGTGGGATTCAGGATGAGCTTGCCAATTGGATACATAATTGGCTTGGCTGATTCCGGGGATGGCGGGACTATTGTATGAGGAAAGATACTGGATGAGGAAGATGAGGAAAGTACTGTTTTCACTGGAGTTCGAACGAATGAGGGAGGGATCTCATAGAGACTTATAAGATTCTAACAGAATTAGACAGGGTAGATGTAGAGAGGATGTTCCCGCTGGTGGATGTGTCCAGAACCACAGGTCACAGTCTGAGGATTCAGGATAGACCATTTAGGATGGACAGGAGGTGACATTTCTTCACCCAAAGAGTGGTGAGCCTGTG